TAACTCTTTTTCCTCTTCCCTAATGCTTTTAGGTTCTTTGAGCACTTTTTTATTCCTCAACTCTATAGCATTAAGGTTCTCTTTAGGGTTGGGAAAGGGTTGAGAAGGCAGCCTATTGTTCATTTGAGCTTGCATATTACTAATCAAAGTTTCAGAGGCTGTTTGTCTTTCTTGAAGTTGCTTAAGACTTATGTCAACCGAAGTAAATTTATCATCCATCTTTTTAAGCACTTGTTCTAACATCTGGGTTGCCCTATCTTGCTGGGGAGGTGGATTATTAGAAAAATTCAGATTATTACCCCTCGGAGGACCATAACGCAGATTTGGATGGTCTCTCCAACCCTCGTTATAAGTGTTAGAAAAAGGATCATACTTCTTTTGGTTGTTATTATTGAAAAACAAAGCATTGACTTCAGGATTTTGGAGTGTTGGACACGCATCAGTAGGATGTCCTTCCAAGCAACACACTCCACAAGGTTTACCCTTACTACCCCCTATATTACCCACAACAAGTTTAGAAATAGCATCAGTTAAGGCAGAAAGCTTATATTCTAAAGAAGATGAATTCCCTATCTCACTAACCGGCCTCACGACAGTATCTCGAGTTCCAAATTGTTGGGTATTTTGGGCAATGGTATTAAAAAGCTCCCTCGCTTGAGCAGGGGTTTTGTTCACTAATGCACCACCGCTAGCGGCATCAACAATGCCCCTCTCGGTAGGCAAGAGTCCTTCATAAAAATATTGGATTAACAATTGCTCAGTTATTTGATGTTGAGGACATGAACAAACAAGCTTATTAAAACGCTCCCAATACTCAGAAAAGTTCTCCCCATTCAATTGTTTAACCCCACAAATCTCTTTCCTAATCGACCCAATCCTAGATGCCGGAAAAAATTTCTCAAGAAAAGCTTTATGAAGGTCGTTCCACGTGGTGAAAGATCCAGCTGGCATATAGTAAAGCCAATCTTTGGCCTTATCGGAAAGGGAAAAAGGAAAGGCTCTAAGTCTGATTTGGTCTGGAGAGACTCCTTCAGGCACCATTGCACCACAAGTGATCATAAATTCAGATATGTGCCTAAAAGGATCCTCTCCAGGAAGACCATGAAACTTAGGAAGTAAATTGATAAATCCAGAATTAAGTTTAAGGGGTTTTTCCAACTCACCATAAGTGATGGAAATAGGTTGAATGGTCAAGTCAGGTGCAGCTAATTCTCTAAGAGTACGGTTAGGGGCTGCCATCTTAGAA